TAAGCTTGGCTTGACCATACTAAATGGGCATATAGCCCTGCTCCCCATCACCGCCGTGCATGGGACCGGACCTTGGTCTTATTTAAAAAAAATAAATAAATAAAAAGTGGACCGACAGCATTTCTAGTTGAGGACCACTGATTTATGATGTCAGTTTTTATGGCAGGGAAATTCAAACATTTGTTTCCACTAATACTATTATTCATTTGTGTGTTTTCAGCCTGAATATGGGGAATTCAAAATAGCAGAGAATGTCCTGCACTTAATTTATAACCAAGGGATGATCTGGTAAGTTGAAATATTTGTAAAATCTTCAGGTGGCTTGACTGCAATAGACATTATTTTTCAAAGTTAACAGTCCGTCCGGTGCTGCTACGTATCCTTGACCCTGTTTAAAAAAGCCCTCTATGTCTCTCGCCCACCAGATTTCATCATCTAATTTCAGAACTGTCACTTTGCAGCAATGAACATAACGGATGTGCTTTAGCGATGTCACCCAGTAGCTGTGTAAATAACTCTTTCTTTCTCGCAGGATGGGAGCTTTTTTCTCCCCTTGTCTTCCTGCCTTTAATGTGTTGAAGCTGATTGGTCTCATGTATCTTCGGAGCTGGGCAGTCCTCACCTGTAATGTTCCCCATCAGCAGGTCTTCAAAGCATCCAGGTCAGGCATTTGCATTTACTATAATGGACACATTTGAGTGAGCCATACAGCCAGCCATATTGTTTTGAAAAGTCTGCAGTGACAGTCTACTCTTAAATGGAGAAATGTTGACTGCTTCTTCACGCAACATAAAGGGTAAACAGTAATCCCTCGTTTATCGCGGTTAATGGGGACCAAAACCACCCGCGATAAACGAAAATCCGCGAAGTAGCGTCCAATTAACATAAACAGGTAAAAAAAAAAAAATTTTTTTTTTATTTTTTTTTTATATGTTTGAAAAAATCCGTGATGCACTGAACCCGCGATAAACGAACCGCGAAGTAGCGAGGGATCACTGTACAGTGATCCTGACCATTTGGCGCTTCAAGTTTTGCGGCTTCAGTTTTGATGCGCAAGAGATTTCCCTGCATGCCGAACAAAAAGCTAAAGTGACTCAGAGGCTTTGTACATGCCCACTCAAACTAGTCACGTGATTCGTTCCCGGCGTGATATCGACCCATGAGAGCACGAGTGGATTCATTGATCTTGAATTCTCTCTTCTTCCTCCCAGGTAACTGATAGCTTGCAGTTTAAACTGTGTCTCTTTGTAGGTGCTATACTCAGGGGGTCCTTGGCCAAACTGATGTTGTTTAGCACAATGCACATACCGGCGCTTTATACCTAATGGGGGGCGTGCCTTCAGCATCCTCGTTCACACGCACCCTTCCCCTCTTCCCCCCTTTAATGACCGCAAGTGGAGCACTCATCAAAGTCACACAACAACATTTACAGATGTTGGCACTCGGCATTATTAGGCGCCCCGTACATTTCGGAGACAGTTTAAAGACTTAAGTGCGCCTTATGGTCGTGAAAGTATGGTAACTGCACAGAAAGGCCATCATTTTTAATCTACTTCGGAATGTGTCGCTGTTTGTGTCCTTTTCATAGAAGTCATATTTTGACAAACTAATGCTGGGGAATTTGTCTGATCATCTTCAAATTTTGCATGTTTCGTCTAAAGATGGTTCAGATGAAAAGTTATTGATATCTTATTATTTCGTCACATGCTGTTGCCATGGTGATGCACTGTCCACAGAGAAAAATGCTGCTGTTTTTCAGGGTCGAAGTCTGGGTGGAAACTCATGAAATTTTGCATCCATAGCAGATCTGTCATAAAAAATATCAATATTTTAGAGATTTCTTAATCAAATGTCATGAAATGGCTCAATGCCCCACCCCTTCAAATTTTCACGTCACCTAGAAATGTGAAAATTGAAAGTATATGTAATTGCCCAAGTCATACAAAAAGTATTTTTGAAGCTATATGCTCAACCAAACAAAAAGGCTGCCATTTAGACTTTATTTGGGAAATATGCACTTTTGATAGAGATCATCTTTTAACTAACTCCTCCCACAGAATTTTTCCATTCATTTTCAAAGTTTAGGTGTTTAATTGAAACTAGTGCTGTCAAACGATTAACAAAAGTGTGTGCTTAATTAATTAGGTCTGTAATTAATTAATCTATATTTTAATCTCATCTAAAAATTACTGAGAAAACCCCTATTTTCATTTTTTTCAAATTCGTTACATTATTGAGGCAGATGAAAAGATAAAAGAAAAAGTGGCATTATAGAGTATTTTATTGTTTATCAGCAGAGTTGGACGGATGCAGTGCTAGCCATTTACTTTCTGCTGTATTTGAGACTAGTCAAAGTCCTACCTGCAACCTTTAGTTTCGACCACGAGGGGGAATATCACTGTTTTGTTTGTTTTTGTAAATCTCCAAAGAATTACAAAATAAAAATAAAATAGAACATCAGGTCCTTAAAAAGTGCTTGGGTTAACATATCAAAAACAGTAAGAACAATTTTCTGAGAAATACAAATACTCAACACTGAACTTGCTTCAGATAATAAACAATAAATAAAACAGACCCTTAAATCACAGTGCTGTAAGTTAGCACTTCAGAAATAACACTGTTCATCATGACAAACTAAAAGTGCTGAAATAAACATCAATCACTTCTAGTTGTCTACAGAGGACACGTCAACTATGCCTTGTACGTGGGGTGCTCTCGAGTTTAGTTTGCCGAAGAGCTTTGTTATGTATGGCTCGCTTGCTATATTGCAAACGCTTGGGGTGCTAACGTTAGCTGTGGCTGCACTCGTGACTGGGTGCTTTGCATTGATGTGGGAGGCTAAATTTGAGCGGCTTCGGTGGTAAGCAAACGCCTTACAAATTTGGCACAACACTCTACCTTTATCAATTGTGTCGTCAGGGTGTTTTTGGAATGTAAATGTTCCATTCATTGTGCTGAGAACTCTCACATGCTGCTCCATTTTCCCCTCTCCACTCCTCACTGCTGCTTACTAAACCCGCCCAACTCCAATGGGATCAGCTTCAGCTAAACAAGCCCCAACATAATGGCAGCCAATCAATGTCCGCTTCAGGCTGTGACTGACAGTTGTTTCCCCACCCTCAACAACTCGAATACAGGAAGCCAACACATAAAAAAGGGCTATTAGAAAAAGGCAACCCACCTACAGAAACAAAGGCAGAGATTAAAATTCAGATGAACGCGATTAGAAAACATTACCGCACTAAATTGGATGTAATTAATTAATCTCAATTAACGCGATAATTTGACAATTTGACCTCAAATTGAAACATGTTTAATATGAAAAGTTATTGTAGGTGTTTTATTGCATCACACATACCTTGGTGATGCACCATTTGCAAAGAAAAATGATGCTGTTTTTGAGGGTATAAACATTGTCAAAAACTCATGAAACTTTGTCCACACATCAGGCATGGCAAAACAACTATATTTTAGAGGGTTATTTTGTAGGTTCTTAAAAATGGCTGAGTAGTGCCCCTGAAAAGAATATTAACAAAGCACCCCTGGTCGAAAGTTTCAAATTGGGAGTCCACCATTTTGATTTTACTTTGGAATTTGGCGCTGTTTTGGCCTTTTATTAAGGTCATATAAAACTCTTCTTTTAAAATGCGTCTGATCGTCTTCAAACTTGGTGTGTTTCATGAAAAAGTGTTAAAGATGCAAAGTTATTCCAAGTGTTTTATTTCGTCACACGCTGTTGCCATGAGTATGTACAGTTGGCAGAGAAAAAAATGCTGTTTTTGATGGTCTAAACCTGCGCAAAATTCATGAAACTTTGCACATACTTACACTAAGGCTTAGCAAAACAACGTTGATATTTTAGAGAGTTATTGTCCTTTGTGCCAGTACCCCAGTGTACCAGGACCCCAATTTGCAAGTACCACAACGTGGCCCGGGTTGCGAGGGCCCTCGCAGCTTGAGTTAAGACTTGTTTTACATTAATTTGATTCCCAAAGTCTAACAATGACCAACCTGGCTCTCTCTATTTATTGTAGATCAAATAATTTCTACTTGGCGATGCTGCTTTTTATGCTCTTTCTGTGTATGCTGCCAACCATATTTGCCATTGTAAGATACCGACCATCGCAGCACTGTGGACCATTTAGGTAAGAAGAACCCTCTTCATTGTTATTAATTTCATTCATAAAATTTTGCCGCTGCATTTAACCTATCTATAAAGTGTCAAAACATGGGTATCAGAGCCAAATGGGATACCCACTCTGGCAGGCAGTGTCCTGAACCACTTGGCCATATTTGCCAAATACTATTTTTACTTTTACAGTAGATAGATACTGGATATGGTATTGGCACATATGTTTTTCACAATTTCCAAAGTACTCACTGAAATTAATTTCAAATTGTGAATTTCTGATCCTCCAGTACACTATATGCCTTGTGTGTCTTGTTACAGCACGGATTTTTAGGGTGGTAACACTCTATATTGTGTGATATTTCAATTATCCACCTGTATGTTGCAGCGGTCAAGAGAAAATCTATGACATCATATCGGAAACAGTGGCCAGTGACTTTCCCCTGTGGTTCAGTAAAGTGATGAGTTACGTCACCAGCCCTGTTGTCGTGTTACCGGCACTGCTGCTTCTGTTGTAAGAGCACACACGCACATGTACTCTCACACACCCACACGCACGCACGCACGCACGCACGCACGCACGCACGCACGCACACACGCACACACACACACACACACACACACACACACACACACACACACACACACTTTTTGTAATTTGTACTCTGATTTCTATTTGTGTTTTAGCATGCTGATATACTATCTCCAGGCCATTGCCAGATCTTTAAAATTCACCAACAACCAGCTGATGATGCAGCTCCAGACAGTGAGTGTCTATCAAGCTGACAGATTGACAATGTGAATATGAAACAATATGACAATATAAACAATATGTGAAATATACAATATTTGAAAATTCTTAAAGTCGCTGCCACAGAATTTTTGCTTGGTTCAGGTCTTGACTCTTGTTTGGGTGGGCAGTTTAATTTGAATGTGTTTAAAGTCTCACACAATGTATGGCCAACCCACAAACTGCTGTGATTATGGTAATTGTCTGAATGCCGTGAACAGCAGTCCCATGTTATTCTATGCCAAAATGCTTTATTATTTCTCATTTCCTCAGTTCTTCTGTATTCATCTACTTTCACATGTCAACTGATTCCAATGATTCAACATAAATTCAGGTTAGCTGCGGCATTATTCTTTCATTGCAAAAACTCCCAGTCTACACAAAATTCCGTATTTCCACCCCACCCCCCCAAAAAAACCCCAAACAAAACAATCTAAGTGATTGAGCAATCCCCATCATTTCCACTTCAAATTCAAAATGTTTCGTTCATTTAAAATACTCTATGAACTACCGGTTTTGTCAACTTTCCATGAATTCCCAGAGAATTGCCAAAAGAAAAACAAATACACACACACACACACACACACACACACACACACACACACACACACACACACACACACACACACACACACACACACACATGCCCTCGCAACATTGGCACATCACTGGAAACAGCGTAAGTAAACAGCCAGTGGTTGTCGCAGGTACTACGGTGAAGCTAGCGTCATGCAACATTGATAATGTCTGCAGTCTGGAAATATTTTAACATCGAAATCGGAGACAGTGCAACGGTGATTTGCACTGTGTGAAAATTGAGCATTTCACGTGGTGGAAAGGACAGAAACACAACTAATTTAATCAGCAACCAGAAAAATTGATTTGTCCAAAAAAGGATTTAAATGTTTTACTTGGTTAAAATGTATTTGGTTATTACCAAGTAATAACCAAAATGTACTTGTTTATTATGTATAAAAGGTGTCATGCTGGAATAGTTTTCTTAAATAAATTTTAAAAATAAATAAATAAATAATTCTGTGAATTTGCATGCACTTTTTTCTCTTTAATATATTGCTGATGTATCAGATTGGGACTCAATATGGGCTGATACTCAAATTCAGATGAGTCAGACTCAGATTCGGGTGCACATAAATGTGATTGGGACATCCCTACTTTCAGTATCTACAATAGTATCACCTCCTTCCACATTTGTTGACAATTCCAATTTAAAAATCTTCAGATCCTTCAAGGATATTTCTTCCCATTGCCGACATTTGCTTCCCAAAATTCCAAATGACTGATTCAAGACATTTCAATTTCCATAATTCAGATCATTCAAGCTATCTTGGAACTGTTCCCATTCCCAAAGTTCCCCAAATTTTCAACCCCAAAAATCCCATATTAAGGGAATTTTACATATTTAAAAATCCCAGTGCCATCAAAGATGGGGCATTGTCTAAAATGTAAATTAAAAACAGAAAACACTGCTTTGCAAATTTTTTTCAAGCTATTTTGTGTTCACACTGATTTATTTATTAATGTATTTATTTGTTATGCATTTGTCATTTTGAACATAATGCGTGTAGCATTCGTACATTCCAAAAAGACAAGTAGCGGTACTTACTTATTGTGAATTAAAATTCATTTAGCCAGTCCGTGACAGTATTTAATCAATCACAAGTGTATTTTTCTATCAGTACTTTAGAGGTTGCTCTTCCAGGCTTGCCACTCATTGCGCCTATATATTCTTCTCGCCATCTGAATGAAACCAACTAGGCCCATCGGTGTTTAAACCCGTGGAGTGAAATATGGGCAATAGCATACTACTATTCATTTGAAAGAGGTTGAAGAAATACAATACATACAATACATGCTGATTTATATAGCGCTTTCACAACAGCGGCAGCTGTAACAAAGCGCTTAACAAAACAGTTAACATCAAGTAAAATAATAAACACAACACACAATATAAAACACGATCATAAAGTAAAATAATGAACACATAACATAAAACACGGACAGTCGTGCAGTCGTAACCACTTTTCCCCTCATACGCTTTGTTGTTTAAAGCAGTTTGAGATGAAAGAGGAGAGAATCAAAGTGTCCTTTCACCAGTGGATCAGAGACGTCATGCTCAAAATGTGCACACGTCGGCTACAAGCTAAGTTTCAAAGTCAACAAGAAGCTGTATCATCCATTGACGAAAAAAGAGATTAGTTCACTTCTCCTGTCCCATGTAAATCCATTCCAATTCCAAGCGGTGACTCTCAGTTCCAAATACACATCTGCGCTCCGCGCCGACACTCCTCTTTCCTCATCCTCAACTTCAGCAGCCATCCATCCAGCCGTACCAACACAGACTGTCCAACAGCACCGACGTCTCCACTGAACAAAACGGGGCTGTGAAAAATGCTACCCATTACAGGCGCATAAAACACAAGCGCCCCAGGGCGGTCCAGCACCAACAGTCAATGTCGCAGACATTCCTCCCAATCAAAATCTGTGCCGGTACAGGCGTGCTGCCGAGAAAGTGCAACCACCAAGCACGGATTCTTCTCCTTTGACGAATGTCGTGGCCAAAAAAAAATGTAAAAAAAAAACAACAAAACAAAACACAAAAACGATAATGGTATCTTTCTTATCCCTTTAGGAGCGCACAGACGATAAAAAGAAAGTCTTCCAAATGGCTGCAGGTGTGTTCATTGCTCCTACGAGTTTATTGTATTGAATGTCCTATGAATTTGTGGAGGGCTCTCTCTTTCTCTCTCTCCCATTAACACTGTAATATTGAACCATTTCTCAGCAAGACTTCAGGCTCCAGGGGAGGAAGTTGTGGAACAAAAGTCTGATGAACATGAGAGTGACATCACAAGCCAGGATCCCTCCATCCAAACTCCCTCCCCGCAACGGAACGGCAGCGTCACAAACCTCCATACTCCTGGGCAGCGTAGTAACAGCATTCGTACAATTACTCAGTCTGCATCTCGGGGAGAGCTGAACAGAGCTGTGGCTGGATCCTCAAGAAGTCCTGCCGCAATCCCCAAACAGAGGCTGGAGCAAGTACCTAACAGGTGTCAGAGTAATGGATATTTTGACAAAAATCCACCCATTTTATCTGCTTTGTATGTGTGGTCAAGAGAATTAATTGGAACACCTTTTGATTGTGTTGTGCAGTACAGCGTTGCCGCAATATTACGGTTCACCTACAGCGGCCTGCTACATCACACGTTTATTTTGTGTGGAATGCAAATATTCTATTGCGGAAATAGAAAACTTTTTGTGTGTAGTGGGTGGCTGTGGAACGTAACCGCCATGAAGTGAAAGAAGTCATGATTTCGGGAGACGTCCCCGTCAAGCCAGCCGCCATAATAACAGTTGTTCAAATGTTCCGCAAAGCGGCGTGTGGGTCAAATTCAAAATAAAATCACAGCAAGTTGGACTGTAAATTGATATCAAGGAGCTTTTATTTTGAAGTTGGCCCTCGAAAGTAATTGTTTTGGCGGGTGACTTGACTATGAATTGAGGCTGCAAATGCTGCCCGCAGTCAAACTGATTGTCACGTTGCGTGGTGGTGGAGGAAACAAAAAGAATCTAAAGTAGCAAACCAAAACCAAGACTGAAGCAAAAAACTATCAATAACAGAAACATGACAGGAACATGGTGTGCAGCTGCAGGGAGAGCCCTACAGTGCCACCTGTTGGTCACAAACCGAGTGTGTGTGTGTGTGTGTGTGTGTGTGTGTGTGTGT